ATAGATTGACGTAATTGCGTGTATATTTCCGTCCGACTTCGTGTTTATTGGGCTCCAAATCCCATTTTAAGTAAATGTTGTACCAAACTCTTCATGTTTTTTTCAGAATAGATTGACGTAATTGCGTGTATATTTAAGATTAAAACCATGTCTTCCATTGTTTACAACCACTCAAAACCAGTTTATTTATAAATTAATCGGTCTTTAGAGCAATTATATTATATTTTTTACAAATTTGAGCCAAAAATATCGAAAATTTGCTTTACTTATGTAAAGCCGACTATAGTTCCCAAGGCCGGCATCGATAGACATACATATTTGCAAATACTTAGCGCGATGAAATTTCACACAGAGAATGATAATTTTGAAGACTATTGAAGGAAGTTTTCATATTAAGTGAAAGGATTTTTTTTAGTTATTTGATGTTATATACAAGATTTGCGACTACTAGTATATGCCGACATTAGGAGGACTTGTCTTATACAAAACAATCCGACAAGATGAACACATAAATGGTTAAGAATCTGTGAAAATGTAGATACTGTGGAAAATTTTATGTCCACACAATGTATATCGAACTTACTATGTGTTTTCTTCACTTCATAGTCTTTATATACATTTCTTGGTTTGAATTAGTTGTGTTCTTTATTTTCCTAGTTTGTCATTTTCAAAATTTCTCATAATAATTGTATTGTATGCAATCAAATCGATTTACATTTTATTGACAATCCCACGGCGGCTGGTTCTTTGTACCGGATTGACTCGGCATTATATCCCGGAACCCTACTGGTCCGTGCGGGATTGAAAGTAACCCCGGACCTTGGTTCTGCAGTGTTTGCAGAAACCGCATCCACCACAGATCTGTCTCGGTGAGATGCAATGGATGTGGAGAATGGGTGCATTTTCGAGGCTACTCTGGCCTGAACAGGATCCAGGAGTACTGCGAAAGGAGTTACGTCGCTTTATGCTGCGCTAGCACGTCTCCCAGTGTGTCTCAAGAGTCGTCGTCCGATTCATCATCCGAATCGTCATCGTCTGAGTACGAGACACCCCCGCAGTCTCCCCAACAGCAAAATGCGCAGCATTTAACACCACATATTGCTGTTCCGCGCCTTGAAAATGCATCGTTTTTGCAGTTTTACTGCGACGGCCTTCGCAACACAATCAGCGAAATTGTAGAATTTATGGGTCGAAAGGGAATAATGGTCGGTGCGATCCAAGAAACCAAGCTAACTGAGAACTGTAGCTTGCAGCGTTGCGATGGTTACAACGTTGTGCGGAAGGACCGTACCAGAAGCGGAGGTGCGGGACTCGCATTCTTATTACACCATTCTGTCCAGTACAGACCTATCTCGCTTGAGCTAGACTCTAGTGACCCATACATGGAATGTATGGGGGTAGCAGTCAAGTGTGGAACTGCCGAGGTAGAGGTGCTCAATGTTTTTATACCGCCGATGAATAGCTGTACACCGCGTTATTTACCGGATAGCAGTCCGCTTTTAGAAGGTAATAACCGCCTGGTACTAGGGGATTTCAATGCCCACCATGAATTATGGCATTCCGTCCTAGGTAATGACTAGAGGGGTACAGCGCTGGCTGAGCAAATTGATAGCTTAACATTTTGCACGGTTAATGAGGATGCCCCCACGGGGATAAGAGGAGATTGCCACAGCTCGCCAGACATCACGATTGTGGCACCGGGTCTGATAAATGACGTAACCTGGCAACCCGTCGTTTCACTAGGTTCAGACCACCTTCCGATCATCGTCTCCGTAAACAGACCACCAGACTTCATAACCTCTGAAAGCCGTACTTTCCTGAATCATGGGAAAGCTGATTGGCTGGCTTCAGAGAGTTTACCAATCACCGCTTCAGAGAGCTGCCCACTCCCTCAGATCCACGGGTAGCTGAGAGGAATTTCCGTAAAATCATCGCTACTGCTGCCGCTCGCTTCATACCTGCTGGTCGAATACCCGAAGTAAGACCTAACTTCCCAGCAGAAGCAACGGTATTGACTAATGAGCGTGATGAGCTCCGTCGTACTACTCCTGAAGACCCAAGGGTGAGAGAGCTTACCCTTGAAGCCAACAGATTAGTATGCGAGCACAAAAGGAAAAAGTGGCTAGACCACCTGAAGCAATGCAACATTGCCACCGGAACGAGTAAATTGTGGGCAACGGTTAAGTCACTCTCGAATCCTGGAAGGAAAGATGACAGGACCGCTGTTACATTTAACGACGTAACTGTAACAGACCCGAAGAGGTGCGCGAGTTATTTTAACCGGCAGTTCATAGAGCACCCCGAGAGTGACAGGGCGAAAGGGAGTGTGCTACGTCCAGAAGGGCACTCCGAGCTGAGAGGGAACCACCACAATTTACGAAGGAGGATGTTGCAGATGTCATTAATAACGCTAAGTCATCAAAAGCGTTGGACCCGGACGGAATTTCCATGGTAATGCTAAAGCAGCTGGATGAACCTGGAGCCTAACATCAGCCCTCAACTTGTCGTTAACCACCCACATAGTTCCTGAAGCCTGGAAAATAGGCAGGGTGGTCGCGCTACTGAAGCCAGGCAAGAATGCCAGCAGGGGTGAATCGTACAGTCCGATTTCACTCCTGTCGCCGGTAGCGAAGACACTTGAGGCGCTACTCCTCCCATCGTCGAGAAGCAGTTTTCCAGTTGCCCAACACCAACATGGATTCCGTAAGATGCATAGTACAACAACAGCATTACACGCCATTTACACACATATTAGCAGAGGACTCAAGCAGAACAGGCCGTGCAACCGAACAGTTATGGTGGCACTTGACCTATCGAAGGCCTTCGATACCGTCAACCATGCCAAGCTGTTCGAGGATATAGAGAGGACAAATCTACGACCGTGTTTGAAACGGTCCACACATATAGTTGATTATATGTGTGGACGCCAGTCGTATGTGGAATTCAGAAACAGGAAGTCTAAACGACGTAGAGTGAAACGGGGAGTTCCCCAAGGAGGGGTGATATCTCCGGAACTGTTTAACCTCTACCTTTCTGATATTCCACAACCACCGGACGGCATAGAGATCGTAATTTATGCAGATGATTGCACGATCATGGCGTCGGGTCCTATTATTAATGATATATGTGAGAGGCTAAACGTCTACATAGCCGATATTGTTAACTACTTCCATCTGAGGAATATGAAAATATCCACCACCATCAACAGCCACACTGTTCACCACATGGACGGCTGAAATGAAGCTCCCACTGAACATAATGGTCGATGGAGAATTGATTCCGACCACCAACTACCCCAAGATATTGGGAGTAACGTTCGACATTCTTTTCAAGTCGGCCGCGCATTTCACTGCTTTATGCGATAAGCTGAGAAGTAGTAACAAGGTCCTCAAGTCGCTAGCCGGCAGCACTTGGGGCGCTGACAAAGAAACCTTGTTGACATCTTATAAAGCAATAGACCGGTCAGTGGTAAGCTATGCGGCGCCAGTGTGGTTCGCGAATGTCAGTGATACGCAGTGGAAGAATATTCAGACCTGCCAGAACGCTGCCCTGAGAACTGCAACAGGGTGTCTCCTTATGACTCCAGTGGACCATCTTCATGAGGAGACGAAGATCTTACCCGTCCATCGTCACAACTATATGTTGTCGATGCAGTACCTTATGGACAGGACTCCCCCACCCAGGCACGTCAGGAAAGATTTTCATGATCTAGAGAGAGAGGTCCAAAGGTACAAGCGTGAACCGCTAGATCAAGAAGCCTATCAAACAGGTCTGAATGGTATTAACACGGATGCAGTCGCTCAGGCAGTAGAGCAATATCGAGTGAATACCATAATTGGAGACCACTCCCCATCCATCGCAGCTGCCAAACAAACACGAGTAGTCTTAGCTCAACTAAGATCAGGATGGTGCAACCGCCTCAATTCATATTGGACAAGAATTGACGGCTCGATACCTAACACATGTCCGGCATGTGGACTAGGACCACACGACACGTTGCTCCTCTTCAATTGCCCAGCTAAGCCTACTCACCTATCGCCGAATTCACTCTGGACGCAACCCGCTAAAGTTGCAGCATTGCTGAATTTGGAGGTAGAAGATGCAGAACCAGACGATGCTTGACAAAACGACATGTATTCTGTTGCTACAACAACAACAACATTTTATTGAAACTATTCATTGTGAATATAAGACGAAATTTATAAATTGGTTTAGTTCAATATTATGGACAGCTTAACACACACGAGGTTAGAGGCTTTGCCTGTTAAGTTGGCTATGTATGATATGTCAATTTATAAAGGAATATCAGAGTCAAACTTGATTTTGGAACCCGTTCTCCTATATTCTTTTACAATAAAAAACGTTCATATTGCCCAATGAAAACATCTTATCTATATTTGCTGCTATCGATAAGTATTTGGTCTAGCTCACCAAATGCTGGCTTTTTATAAACAGTTATATACAACATATGGTCTGTTCCCGTACTGCAAGAATCTACTAGATTTTACTATTTTCTTCGATAACATAAAGGAAAATTTGTTATCGTAGTAAAAAATAGTAGATTCTTGCAGTACGGGAACAGACCAATATATAAGAAATGCTTAAAATAAATATACCGCAAAAGAATGAATTACAAGACCGACACCAACCACTGTGCACATATTTATATAAACTTAGTTTAAAGGCACAGAATGATTAGAGTTCAGTTGAGCATAGATCGTGCAAGAAATCTGTTGCTTCGGTCATGTTGTGTTCGTTTATTATGTTCAAGTCTTATTAAATGAATGTAGTTTTTATTTTTCCCTGCCAATGGCGTAGATTTCGAAAGTAAAAACATTTACTTTAGAAAGCATTTTATATAACATCAAGCCGAAACAAATCCAACAAAAATTAAAATATATCATAATAACATCAACAATTAAAATATTAACATATAATCAATTTTGTTTCAGATTTTACGAAGATCTTTTTTGGCACATAGCAAAATTGTAATACTGCGCTATGAAGTCAATAACTGGAGAAAAAATTCGAACTTGGTTGCTTTCTGCTCTAATGGTACATGGGGCAGTTGCTGGTAACCCTGATGCAAAGCGGCTTTATGACGATCTTCTAAGCAATTACAATAAATTGGTTAGGCCAGTAGTGAACACAACAGATGTTCTCAAAGTGTGTATAAAGCTTAAATTATCGCAACTGATTGATGTGGTAAGTCCATTTCATTATTATTTATGTATATTCTAATAACCGCCTGTTATCCTAAGACAACCGGTAGTCTATTCGAACGAATTGTAGTTACTGAAACAAATAACTTATCGTTCGATACGAGTTTCATCGAAATTTGAAAAAGTGCCAAATTGAATATATATGTTGGAGAGAAAGGCACCTTTGGACACTTTTTCCTTTGAAGCCTCATATCATTTTTTATTTTATAATTTTTTAGTTTTTTAAAAATTTTAACTAGAGCAAGACATTACGTTCAAAAAAACATTTACAAAAAGGTTCGAAAATTACAAAAATTAATATGGTGAAAATTAAAGTTAATTTCGTAGTCTTTCTAACCCATTTGAAATTTACTGAAATCGAAGTCAAAAGTTAACAAATCCATTTTTTACTGGAGTTTACTGGGCATGTTCAAAGGTGCCCCAACTGCGGCATTTTACGAAAATTTACAATAATCCTTTTAATAATATATATGAAACAAAATATATCAGTTTTGTTTGAAATGATTGTCGGAACGCAAAAAAAAATTGTTTAACAAAATAAAAAGATCACTGAATTCTTCCTGCACACATACAACAAAAAAATAAAAACAGCTATAAAATGTTCATTCATCTATATTTTGTCGAGAACTGAAAAAGATAGCCAAGGTTATTTACGCTACTAGAGAGAAAGATTAACATATAAAAAATTTTGTTGCGGGTCGGAAAATTCGTAAACTGAGATTTTGTGAACGCTCAGATTTTATGAGGTGTCCCACGTTAAAAGGTGCCCCTCTCTCGGTCTTGAATAGTTCGGCTTGAAATCCATCGGTACCTGCTTCTTTATTGCTCTTCAGCCGATTAATTGCTACTCTGATCTCATCTCGACTAGGTGGTTATACTCTATCCCGTCATCTGTTATTGGTTCTGGGGCATCTACTTCACCGCCACTATTTGATACCAACAGCTTTTTAAAATGCTCCTTCCAGATCCTCAAAATGCTGTATGTATCTGTCACCAGGTTTCCATCTTCGTCTCTTTAGGTAAAATTGCCGGACTTCATTCTGACTCCTGTACATCTCGATTTGCTCACGCTCACGTTTTTCATGTTCTTTCTACATTTCTCCTCTCTCCTTTTCTTGTATTCTCCTATTAACTATAAATTCGCAGACAAATTCATCTCTCGTTTCATGGCAGTTATAATACAGGGCGTAATCATCAGATTTTTTCCATCGCATTTAGTGTAAGGCAATAACATCGGCTTTGTACTTCCTGAGTACATTCGCTAAAGCGAAAACTGCGCATATTCTGTACAACGTGTGCATATTCCAAGTGCAGATTCGCAGATCGTGGTCCTTTATACGTTTGCGGGGGTCGTTAACATTGAGGGTGTTTAGTTTTATTTTTCGTTGCTTTTTTATAATAGGAGGGGTTTTCCTAGTGTGGGCAACTAACGCAACGTCCCAACCCATTTTTTATATTTCTTTTGGGTGAACTCGCGGCACATATTTCAAGGGATGATGAAAGTAGCTACCCCAGGTGACACTGCGAAGAGGTCAGTGTCCACAGTTGAGATGAAAGAGGGTCCAAGATAAGTCTGGGCTTTGCCATGTTAAAGCCAATCAGAGCCGTTTTTTGGTATCTATAATCCCCTACGTCAACCTATTCAATATTCATCTATGTTATAGCATAATTCTTTCAATTGTGTAAATGGCACATTAAAAGCAATTATATTGAAATATATTTTTCCACATCACACTATATGTAGTTACAAACGAATTTTATCTAATATAGACATGATATAAATTAATTGTTTATTTATGTTTTTATAAAACCATTTACGACTGTATTAATCATTTTTATGACATTTATTTTTAGAATCTTAAAAACCAAATTATGACAACGAATCTATGGGTTGAACAGTCGTGGTATGATTACAAATTAAGGTGGGAACCTAAGGAATACGGCGGAGTACATATGCTTCATGTACCATCTGATCATATATGGCGGCCAGACATCGTCTTGTACAATAAGTAAGTTTTGAACTTTGTGTCCGTTATTTATATATATTTGTATTTACGAATTAACCGACGTATGTAGTTTCATTAAATAATCGACCGGATACAACATTTTGTGCGTTTGACCCATAACGCTAAAGAAAATTGCAATGTTGTTTTTCGTTCCCTTTATTATATAAAACAGGGGAAACCCATCAAACAACAATAATGTCAACATAAATTTTAATTTATAAATGTAATATTTTTCTGTTTTTCCATAAATTTTAATTCTTCATAAAATCAATTATTTTCTTGGAATTATCAAATTATGCATTTAGAGCAGATTCAACGATTTTTTTTGTGGCATTCATTAAATTAATGTCGAAACTTTTCGAATTCGACCTTAATTTTATGAATATCCACCGATTATTGTCAATAATTTTTAATTTGATTTGGTAATTGGAGACATTTTATGTATTTGGTCGAAAATATGAAAATGTTGTATTTGTTCGATTACTTGTATTTTTTAAAACAACAAACCGAATGTTGGAGGATCAGATTTATATAGCTTGATAAACAAATATAATTTTCTACAATCTAGTGTCGAGCTCCAATATAAAGCCAGCGATATATTTATCAGTTCTTAAATATATTAGTATATTTATTATTTACCTTGAAATGTAATTTGCAGTATTGTTCAAGCAAGTCAATATAGGTTTGAATCTGTTTTACGCTTTATTGATATGGGAGCTACATCAAAACAATAGTTCTCACACAAATTTATTATTGATTAGTGATATTATATGATTGAAAATACGTCATTATAAAACCAAATTTGGGGAGACAATAAAATCAAAAATTGTATTTTTTGAAAAACTAAAACACAATATTCTTTTTTTTTTTTTTTTTTGAAAAAATGACGTCATTATATAATGGTTTAAACTTTTAAAGTGGGTATCCTCGAAAATAATTGATAATCCGACCAACACTAAATATTAAACTCATCTATAATGATATTTTTGGTAACAGATGAAATGTATCAACACGCAAACGCTGCCAAATCAGGGATATAAATAGCAGAATAAAGGTATTACCAATTTATTTCTTGCACACAGTGATGATATTTATGCACAGATTTAATGACGGTATAATACTACAGCAAGTGTCTGTTGTTTTGTTGGGTATAATTTTTATTTACAACAGACATTGGTTTCATATTCAATACAATAAAAAATGAGAAAATTAAATTTATAATCACTTTCATTGAATGCAAGATTTGCAATTTCTTTGCCATAATCTGACCACAAAGTATTTTAAATGGCAAACAGAAAATCAGCTGATTTTGGAAGAAAATTATTTGACGGAAAGCAAACATTTGAGCAATATGAACACTTAAACGTCAATGCTGTTTTTTGGGCAAACATTTATTTGTGTTTAGAATATTATTGTAAGATCAAGCAAAAGTAAATAACGTACATTGAGTCGACTTTTATATTTTGTTATTTCGATTAAATTATGTATAGTCACTGCAAATCTCTTAGGAATATATATATGTTCATAGTTACGGCATATCCCCGTTTATAGTATATTGATGGGTTTTAAAAGCGTTTTCCAATTGAAAGGGTAGTAATTAGGCATCATCGCAAAAAGTGTTGAATAGAAGTCCATGTTTTGAAAAGTCGACCATATTAAGGCTCCTGCCACTGAATTGGCATCCACATAACGGTACCGCCCACTTTCGGCAAGTGGTTCTAATTTGAAATTTCTTCAGTATTTTCCAGTATTTGGCATTCTGGATCCCTGTTGAATGAAAAAATTAAATTTTCAATGTTGGTTTACATGTTTCGGAATGTTAAATTTCCTATCCATGTTTCAGCCCTGAGTGGCTGTAATTAAGTATTTTAATTTCCCAAAGCATAAATAATCTTTTAGAAGACAAACTATATTAACATATTAACACACTGAAAATGTTGAACTTTTATATGGGCTTCATTAAAGCTTATGTAATTTCCGTATTCGAAATTGGAAATATCCATTTTTGTCAAAACCCTGATGGTTGACGGAAATGAAAGGTCTTAAAAAAGTGATAAAAAAATACATTTATGTAGACTTCTGTGTAGTGCTGCTGGCTGTTATTCATTTCTAATTTAATTTTTTTTCTGATGTGTGTTTTCCGTTAGTGACGTGTTTGACATTTTTTCCAGAAACCACATACATAAGTACTTTGGCTACTCCATCACAAATTTCTTTATCAAATTTATCTCACTGTCAATAAAAGGACAGAAAGGATTGCAATAATTGCAATAGAGCTTACAGCTCTCTGGAGTGAAAAAGGGGTCCAATGGGTCTTACTGTATCTACACTTACCAGCTCGGAATCATACGACATCGGTTCAGATAGACCTTGGGCAATGAAGTTACAACGAGCAATGCACGGAATCAAAATAGGAGACTAACGGGACCTACACTGGTGGACAAAACTAAAGGAACTGAAATTATAATCCGAATAAATGACCTATAACTTTTTTGATAATAATGTTGTAGTGAAAGTTTTTTCAGAAAGAAACAAAAAATATAAACGCAAAATTTATTTTGTAATAAGAAATATTCTATAGATAAACTAAATTGAACCAATTTTTGCATGGTTAAAACTAAAGCAACTTTTTATTTTTTTTTTATAAATAAGCAAATTTTGCTAATAATCGACATCTTATGCATTATTTTGATTATGGAAGCACATCTTCGAGGCATTGCATCAATAAAATTCTCAATTTTATCCTTGGGTATTCCTACTATTCCTCGCATCTTGAACCTTTGGGAAGAGGTTATGTCTGTTCGTTTGTGAAACTCTTTTGATTTTGCTATCTATGGTACTCCAAAGAATTTTCTATAGGGTAAAGATCTCATGATTGTATTGCTTATTATAAAAGCCTTGTTTTTGACTCCCGCATCCAATCATTGGCGTGTTTTGATGTATGTTTGAAGGTTATTGTCACGCTAAAAGACCCAAAGAAGCGTTATATTTTCTTCAGCGAAAGGAGCCTTAGCGTTTTTTCATGTCTGAGTCTTTAATATTTAACTTTAATTCATCCGAGAACATAACATTTCTCCACTGAGTCGGATTCCAATTAGTATGAGCTTTGGCAAAATGTAATCTTGCTTTCCGATTCTTCTCTGAAATAGAAGAATTTTCTTCATAGTTTCCGGTAATGTAGGCATACAAACACTCTCTGTTCTTGAGGTTATATCCAACGGCAATCGTCTCACAAATTCCGTTGAACTCCTAAATTTGTATTTTTCTCTGCTTTGACAATTTGTTGATCAGTTAATAGCTATTTTATGGGAGTACTGTATTTGTTTCCTGCCATTTTTATATTTTTTTTTGGCAGTAAGCCCATATTGAAAACCAGACACACGTTATTGTAATAAAATATATTTAACCAGTAAGGCATGGTATAATAAAAGAAGGTAACAGCAAGTGTTGTTGTACAAAAAACGATACAACAACCACATGGAAATTTGTTGTTGTAAGTTCTACTAGTGTCAACTCATTTGACAGAAAAATGTAAACAAACAAACAAATTATCATCAAATTATTTTTATTTTGAAAATGAAATATTTTCGAATCCTCAAAATAAAAATTGAAAAACATGAATAAAAATCTATCAAATTTATATTTCTATCGCTTCCACATCATTCCTATACTTGAGTCATTGCCATATATATGTGTAACACATATGAAAATGCTGGGAATAGTGAGTTATTCCTTGAAGAAAGATTTGCTTCCTCAAACTTTCCCAGCAGGCAGATTGAGTAAATTGGATACGAGAGCACATTTAATAAAGAACAATTTCAAATTGTATGCGTTCCCAATTTTCCTGTTGGGTGATTTTTAAAAACATACTTTGTCAATTTCATATTGACACTAGTATTACGTTGGAATCAAATCAGCTGGGATTTGCTGTTACCTTTTATAATTGTACCATGCCAGTAAGGAAAGTAGTAAAGTCGGACGGGGCCGACTATATGATACCCTTCACCACTATGGGTATATTAAACAGGACTATTAGCATGAAATTGGATGAAATAAAATATGTGATATTTATCTAAATGTGAATCTACCTAGATCTATCCATAAAGTATGTACATCGACTTCAAACAAATATTAATAGGTCACCGTTGGGCTTTGTCTGTACTTCTAGAAAACGCAACTACATAATTCTATTCTCAATTTTGTAAACTTGATGTCAAACTGACTATCATGAGGAGTTTGATGCCCAATTTACTTGAAATCGGGCGTAAATATATATGAAAGCTCTATCCAAATATTAAGCGATTTCAAACAAACTTGTCACAGGTTAGGTTATACTAATTTCAGAACGTTTTGTTCTTATTGGTTCCTTGATGCGTCAATTACTTAAAATCAAACTATAATAAAAGGGAGCTATATCTAAATCTGGACAGATTTTCACGAAACAACGCAGACATCACCCTAGGTTCAATTCAGTACGTTATGCCAAATTTTGTGCAAATCGAAAGATATATAGGAACTTTGGTGCACCATTTACATGAAATCTGACGAAAAAATATGTGGGAGCTATATCTAAATCAGCACCGATTTTCATGAAACTTAGCAGACATCATTCTAGACTCAATTAAGTACGTTATGCCAAATTTCGTGCAAATCGAAGTATATATAGGGACTCTGGTGCACCATTTACATGAAATCGGACGAAACTATATATCGCAGCTATATGTAAATCTTGACCTATTTTCACGACACTTGGCAGGCATCATTCTAGACTCAATTCAGTACGTTATGCCAAATTTCGTGCAAATCGCAAGATATATGTGGTGGACCATTTACATGAAATCGAAGGAACTATATATGGGACCTATATCTAAATCTGTACCGATTTTCACGAAACATGGCAGACATCATTCTAGACCTAAATGATTAGGCTGTACCAAATTTCGTGCAAATCAAAAGATATATAGGGGCACCATTTATATGAAATCGAACGAAACTATATATGG